AAGCATGGTTTTTTTTTTAAAATATATTTTCTTCAGTCAAGGTGTGCGCATACGTTGTGATATTCGCCATACGACCCATGGTACTTCCAAATAAAAATTTGTGTTTTTTCCTTATTTCCTCCTGTTGCTCCTGGGGAACTTACATTTCCCCATCTTTGTTAAGCATGTTTGTTTTTCCAGACCTGCGGAAATCAATTCATTGTCCAAAAACAAGGATATTTATTGATTAAATCAACAGGAAGAACGAGAGGAGGTAGGAAATGCCATTTCCAAATAAACATGAAAGCCAATATCTTTGATATGCCCTCAAAGGATTGCTTGGCTGTATCCTTTTCACTTTTGGGAATTTTGTACCGTTGTCATTCTGACGAATTCCTTTTAAACTGATAAACATCTAAGAGATGACAGAGAAAAACAAACGTATGACTTTAAGGCAAATGCTTTATTGTGTAGGTGCGTCGTCTGGGTGTGTGTGCGTGTGTGTGGGCCTAAGGCGGTTTCCTGTTCATCCCAAAGTTCAACTTGGCTTTGGCGTGGATATTTTATGACTTTTCTAAGATTTCTTGAACTGAGGTTTCTTGTCATCTCTACCTTTTGGATTGCCAACGGAATTGCCTTCATAAACTTAAGATGGGATCTTAATGTAGATTGGGATTTTATTGTCTGCTATACGCACGATTTACACATGCATATAACACTTGCACGCTTACACACACACACACCCAAACCAACATCCATCTTGCCCCCTCATTAGACACTTGGCAGTGGATTTTGTCCTGGTTTATATTAGCCATTGTTTTATGACTCCTTTGTCCTATTCTTTTTTGTTTGCCAGGACCTTAGAGTTGTTGTCCTTTTTCTGTGTGTGTGTGTGCGTGGATGTGTTTGTGTGTGATTGCCCTTCGGGGATTTCTTTTGACTTTTGTTTGTTTAATTTTTGTCTTGAAATGTAGGCCTTTACCAAAATTTATGAAGACAAACTGGCTCTGCCTTGAAGTCCTTGAAGGCTGGCACATGTCTTAAATGCATTTAAGGATGTTTTACATGGCGGCGCCGTTGTTGTCCTTTTTAAGTCCTTGATAAGCAACACGTAGCTGTGCCAAGTATAATCGATTACATGGGATTAATTTCAAATTACAATTTTGCCGTCTCGTTATGAAATTCAATGCAGGAGGCAGGATGGGTAAGGGACAAGGACATATGTCCATAACCTTTAAGAAATTCAAAGGAATTTCTACAAAAATAATTTAAGCGATTTCTTAAATTTTTTGTCGGAAAATGTTGGCGATTTTTTTTTAAAAATTATTTTTTCAGTAAATCTACAGACGTGGATTTTTTAAAAATTATTTTTTCAGTAAATCTACAGACGTGGATTTTTTAAAAATTATTTTTTTTAAAAATTATTTCTTCAGTAAATCCACAGACGTGGATTTTTTAAAAATTATTTTTTCAATAAATCCACAGACGTGGATTTTTTAAAGAATTATTTTTTCAATAAATCCACAGACGTGGATTTTTTTAAAAATTATTTTTTCAAAAAATCCGCAGACGTGGATTTTTTAAAAATTATTTTTTCAAAAAATCCACAGACGTGGATTTTTTAAAAATTATTTTTTCAAAAAATCCACAGACGTGGATTTTTTAAAAATTATTTTTTTAATAAATCCACAGACGTGGATTTTTTAAAAATTATTTTTTCAATTAATCCACAAACGTGGATTTTTTAAAAAATATTTTTTCAATTAATCCACAAACGTGGATTTTTTAAAAATTATTTTTTCAATAAATCCACAGACGTGGATTTTTTAAAAATTATTTTTTCAATAAATCCACACACGTTGATTTTTTAAAAATTAATTTTTCAATAAATCCACCACTGACGTGGATTTTTAAAAATTATTTTTTCAATAAATCCACCACAGACGTGGATTTTTAAAAATTATTTTTACAATAAATCGCAGACGTGGATTTTTTAAAAATTATTTTTTTTAATAAATCCACAGACCTGGATTATTTAAAATTATTTTTTTTAATAAATCCACAGACCTGGATTATTTAAAAATTATTTTTTCAATAAATTCACAGACGTGGATTTTTTAAAAATTATTTTTTCAATAAATCCACAGACTTGGATTTTTTAAAAACTATTTTTTCAATAAATCTACAGACGTGGATTTTTTAAAAATTATTTTTTCAATAAATCCACCACAGACGTGGATTTTTTAAAAATTATTTTTTCAATAAATCCACCACAGACGTGGATTTTTTAAAAATTATTTTTTCAATAAATCCACCACAGACGTGGATTTTTTAAAAATTATTTTTTCAATATATCCACAGACGTGGATTATTTAAAAATTATTTTTTCAATAAATTCACAGACGTGGATTATTTAAAATTATTTTTTTTAATAAATCCACAGACCTGGATTTTTTAAAAATTATTTTTTCAATAAATTCACATACGTGGATTATTTAAAATTATTTTTTCAATAAATCCACCACAGACGTGGATTTTTTAAAAATTATTTTTTCAATAAATTCACAGACGTGGATTATTTAAAATTATTTTTTAAATGAATCCACAGACTTGGATTTTTTAAAAATTATTTTTTCAATAAATCTACAGACTTGGATTTTTTTAAAAATTATTTTTTCAATAAATCCACAGACGTGGATTTTTTAAAAATTATTTTTTCAGTAAATCCATAGACGTGGATTTTTTAAAAATTATTTTTTCAATAAATCCACACACGTAGATTTTTAAAAATTATTTTTTCAATAAATCCACAGACTTGGATTTTTTAAAAATTATTTTTTCAATAAATCTAAAGACTTGGATTTTTTTAAAAATTATTTTTTCAATAAATCCACAGACGTGGATTTTTTAAAAATTATTTTTTCAATAAATCCATAGACGTGGATTTTTTAAAAATTATTTTTTCAATAAATCCACAGACTTGGATTTTTTAAAAATAATATTTGCAATAAATCCACAGGCTTGGATTTTTTAAAAATAATATTTGCAATAAATCCACAGACATGGTTTATTAAAAATTCAAATTTTAGCGATTTTGGGTAAAATTTTCCACACTTTATTTTTCATTAAAAAATTAATGACAATTATTTTTTTCATTATCATTGATGCACAACCCCCGGCGCCTTTCTCCCTCCCTGCTTTTGCTTCCCCTACTAAATTATGATGGCATTTCATGTTTCTTGTCTATTATAACAAAATTTTATTATTGTTTTGCTATTAAGAAAGTGAAAAGCTATCAACGAAATGAACGCCAAAAAATAATGACAATGTAGATAATGAAAATGGAGACAATGAAGCGACATTAACACTGTATAAGACACTATAGAGGATGGCATGAAAGGAAGGAAATGCAAAATCCAAACACTCCTCCTACCCATTCTTCCAAAAAAAAAAAAAAAAATATGCTTTTGGCCATAAAAATGTTATCAAAATCCAATAAGTCGAATTATGAGCCATGGGTAAAGCTGGCAATAACTGCGTTATGGGAAATATTGACGCAAAATGTTGGCGGGGCGACGAAAGTTATTTGCAGAAGGGGAGGGTATGGAAAAAAATTTTCAAGGAAAAATTTTTTATTTTTTAAAAATTTAAAAAAAAAAATAATTTAATAATTAATAATAATAAATTTTTTAAAATAATTTTTTTTATTAAATTTTATTATACAATAATTTTTATGATTTTCGTCAACGATATTTTTTTTATAAATTTATTTGATAAATAATAATAATAATAATAATAATAATAATAATAATAATAATAATAATAATAATAATAATAATAATATAATAATAATAATAATAATAATAATAATATAATAATAATAATAATAATAATAATAATATAATAATAATAATAATAATAATAATAATAATAATAATAATAATAATAATAATAATAATAATAATAATAATAATAATAATAATAATAATAATAATAATAATAATAATAATAATAAAATAATAATAATAATAATAATAATAATAATAATAATAATAATAATAATAATAATAATAATAATAATAATAATAATAATAATAATAATAATAATAATAATAATATATAATAATAATAATAATAATAATAATAATAATAATAATAATATAATAATAATAATAATATAATAATAATAATAATAATAATAATAATAATAATAATAATAATAATAATAATAATAATAATAATAATAATAATAATAATAATAATACTAATAATAATAATAATAATAATAATAATAATAATAATAATAATAATAATAATAATAATAATAATAATAATAATAATATAATAATAATAATAATAATAATAATAATAATAATAATAGTAATAATATAATAATACAATAATAATAATAATAATAATAATAATAATAATAATAATAATAATAATAATAATAATAATAATAATAATAATAATAATAATAATAATAATAATAATAATAATAATAATAATAATAATAATAATAATAATAATAATAATAATAATAATAATAATAATAATAATAATAATAATAATAATAATAATAATAATAATGATAATGATAATTTTTTTCAAAAATATTTTTCGTCAACGATTTTTTTTTAAATTTATTTATTTTTTTAGAATTAAAGAAATCTAATTTTTCCTATTTTTTAAAATATTTTTTGATTTACGATTTAAAATTTTGTAATTATTTTTTTTTATTTATTTTAAATATAATTCAAAAAATCGCTAAAAATTTAACAAAATAATTTTTAAACACTATTAAAGAATACTATTTTTTCCTAAAATGTTCTTAAAAAAAATATATTTCTCAAAATATTGGTTTTCTTAAAAAAATAAATGTATATAAAAATAAAAAAAAAAATTAATTAATAAACAAAAATGCTCCCTTGATTCAAAATATTTTTGCTAAATAATTCCTAAATTTGAAATATTTTTTTTTTAATTATTTTTAAATATATCGTTTTCTCGTCTCTTTCCAGTTTTCCGCTTCACTTGTCTGAAATTAATGATGGCCTAAACGTTATTTCCATTGAAATTTAAATAGAGCCAGATCAAGGTCAGAGCCCAACACAATTATGTAAATTCCACCAAAGAGAATTCCTAAAAAAATCCAAATTGTCTTCCCAATTATCTAATATTTTCCAACTAAAAACTACCGCAAAAGTTGACCAATTAATGGCATTGTAAAGCAATAGCCTTGAGCAAAAGTTTGCCATTTAAAATAATAACACTTGGTAATGGTAAATATTTGTAGAACTTTAAACAGGGAGAGAGAATATAAAAATAAACAAAGAAATGCCGTTTAAATTGGAATTATTACGGCCTCTTACAATAACAACAACTACTACATTCATCGTTTAAGAGATTCCCAGAAAAAACGGCCACAATTTCTAAGGCAATAACAAAAACATACGGCCAAAGGCTCTACTACTACTAATCCCCATTGTTCGTTTGTTTACAATACTCTAGCAATGTGAGTGTGTGTGAATAGAAGAGTATATGTGAGTTAGAGAGCCAGAGCAAAGAAAGAAAGAAAAAAAAAACAGCAACACCATCTATTGTTATACACGTGCATAGTTAAAGCAACAAAATATTAGAGCGCTTCATATTTGTGCTTTATTTACGGTCTTTGAATGTGAGAGGAGAAATACACACATATAACAGTGAGAGCAAGAGAGAGAGCGTCTCTGTGTATGGCAAAGAGCTTACCAGCACGTGTTGGTGGTTTAATAGTAAGGCAAACGATTTGTTATTCCTTTGTTTACATTCAATTTGAAGTAGATGTGTGTGAGAACAGTATGTGAATGAGAGCGCGCGTGAGAGAGAGTACCATTGTTTATAAGGAGATTCCGTATAGCACGTGAGTTAAACCAAACACTGTTGAGAAAGAAAATAGTCTTACTCAATGGTTTGTTTATATTTTGGTTTATAAACATTGCCAGAGGCAAACACGTACACACACATATTTGAAGCAAGCCACCATTGTTTGAGGGTGGGAAAAGAAAGGCCCGTAAATATTTCTCCTTAAAAAAATAAAATTAACGGCAATACAACGGCTACAGAACAAAGTGCATTGGTATTGCATCATCTTCCATTATACGTGTCTCCAGCAAATATCTACAACGTCTCCTCCTATTCTTCTTCCTTGAGAACTACAACATTATCACCTTCCACTACCTGTCGTCGACGTCTTCATCAAATATCACTGGCCACAGCAACAATTGAAGACCCAGACAAGACATTGCTAGACCCCACAACGGCCCAGACAACAGCAACAACACCTACAACAACGCCAGATAACAACATCGCCGGCAACCACGGCCGTTTGAAACCGAACATCATCATGTTGCGTAGCTGCGTCTGTTTTGGCCAGCGTGGTAATCACAAGCGGCGTAGCTCATCGTTTGATACATCATCGTCATGCCGTTCATCGGAAATTGAACGTGGTGGCAAGACGGCCACCACATTCACGGCCAGTGGTAGTGGCGGTGGTAGTGGTACTGGTGCCAATAATCAGCGCCAGAATCAAGTTGCAAATGGTCGTATGGCCTCCAGTTTGTTACAGTACTTCCAGACGAAAGGTTGGCTCCGACACTGGCGTAAACCGACAAGGGGCCTCAGCATGACCAAAATTGAAATCAGTAAGTACAAAAGCAAAAAAAAAAAAAAAAAAAAACAAAAAAAAAAAACAATAAATATTTAAATTAAGAAAACAGAGAAAAAAAGACAATTTTAAACCAACATTTGTTGTATATGTGTATCTGTGTGTGACTCATATAAAAATAAATCAAACAGTGAGAAATTGACATTTAAAGAGGATTTTCTTGTTCTTTCATGTTTATGTTGCACTCATTGCTCGGCGACAACATACATACAGTGGACACTTAAACCCCTCTTTTATTTATTGGTCATTAAAGGGCAAAGGGTTTTGAAAATTCGCATTTTTTTTTTCAAAAGAAAAAAAATCACTGCGTTTTTTTTTCGTGTTGTGTGTGACACACCATTTGAAAGTTTATTTTCTTCCCAGAAGAAGAAAACAAACAAACGAAAAAAACAAGTGAAAAACATGACATCATGCTACTGTCGAAAATTACAAATCATATACTACACATTAGCGGCAAAGCACGTGATTAAAAAAAAAAAAAAAAAAAAAAAAAAAAAAAAAATAAAATAAAATAATAAATAATATTTATATTTATATGAAAAAAAAATCTATACGATAATCGTTGGCGAAAAACGACAAAATTTTCTACACGAAAATCTTGGCGAAAAACGTCAAAAACTTTCTATACGAAAATCGTTGGCGAAAAACGCGAAAAAATTTTCTATACGAAAATCTTGGCGAAAAATGCGAAAAAATTTTCTATACGAAAATCGTTGGCGAAAAACGCCAAAATTTTCTATACGAAAATCGTTGGCGAAAATCACAAAAATTTTCTTTTGGAAAATTATTGCAAAAATCGCAAAAATTTGCCAAAAACGCCAAAATTTTCTATAGGAAAATCGCAAAAATGTTCTATAGGAAAATTATTCCGAAAATCGCAAACATTTTCTATACGAAAATCGTTGGCGAAAAACGCCAAAATTTTCTATACGAAAATCGTTGGCGAAAACCGCCAAAATTTTCTATACGAAAATCTTGGCGAAAAACGCCAAAATTTTCTATACGAAAATCTTGGCGAAAAACGCCAAAATTTTCTATACGAAAATCGTTGGCGAAAAACGCCAAACTTTTCTATACGAAAATCGCAAAAATGTTCTATAGGAAAATTATTGCGAAAATCGCAAAAAAATCCTATAGAAAATCGTTGGCGAAAATCACCAAATTTTTTTATAGGAAAATCGTTGGCAAAAATCGGAAAAAAATTTTATACGAAAATTGTGTGCGAAAATCGCAAAAATTTTCGAAAAACGCCAAAATTTTCTTTACGATAATCTTGAGAAAAACGCCAAAATATATTTTACACCGAAAATCGCAAAAAAAAATTTCTTTACGAAAATCGCAAAAATGTTCGTTTAAAGGACATTTGGCGCCCAACGTAAAAAGCCTCCCCTATTTGTATACCCCTCAACATTGTATGGAGGGTATACTAAGTTTGTCATTCCGTTTGTAACACCTCGAAACATACATTTTAGACTCCACAAAGTATATATACTCTTAATCAGCATAGAATTCTATGTCGGTTTAGCGATGTCCGACCGTCTGTCCGTCTGTGGAAATCATTCTAGCTTCCGAACGAAATGAGAAAGATTGATAAAATTTCACTGAAATGTCTGTTATGTCTGCAGGACTTTTGGTATTAAAAATGGGGTATGCAGGTCCACGTCTTCGTATAGCCCCCATATAACGATACCTCCCGATATTCGGTATTTTGATGATTTTAGCGACATTATTCACCGGAATTGTTTGAAATTTGGTAGTAGAGGTTCGTAATGGATACTACAGTCTAAGACAGAAAAATGTCTGTGCAGGTCCACGTCTTCATATAGCCTCCATATAACGATACCTCCCGATATTCGGTATTTTGATGATTTTTGCGTCATTATTCACCGAATATTTTTTTAAGTTTCGCAGCAGTTTAACAGCTGTCGGACAAGTGGCTTAGAAATAACAGTAGCCTGAAATTGGTTGCAGTTTTTTCATCTCACCCTGTAGAGCTGGAATTCCGAAATTTGATATTGAGGTCTCCGTTGGTATGTGGAATTAAGATATCCGGGTGGGAAAAATCGTTGAAGGTCCTTTTGAAACTTTCCTAAAAACTTCACAGTTCATACCTTTGAATGTCCTTTAAGAAGAATTTCCTAAAAAAAGCCTTTTAAAGGCTTTCGAATTTTGTTTCGAAAATCCATGGAGATTTTTCTGAAGGTCTGAAGTCTCTAAAAAATATTTTAATGTCCTTCATAAAATTCTTCAAAAAATCCACTTTCTTGCCTCTGAAGGACCTTTAGAAAAATCGCTGAAAAATAAAAAAAATCTTTGAGGGTAATTTTGAAAAAGTTTTCCAAAAAAATCTTTTTGAGGGTTTTTCGAATATTGTTTTGAAAATCCACTCAGATTTTTCTGAAGGTCATTTAAATTTTTCTTAAAAAGAGCATTAAATAAAAATTTAATTTAATGCTCTTTATAAAATTCTTTAGAAAAATCCACTTTCTTGCCTCTTTAAAAAAATCGACTGAAAAAAATGAAAAAAATTGTTTGAAGGTCCTTTTGCAAAAGTCCATAAAAACCTCTAAAAATTTTTTTTATAGTTCGTTTAGAGGTTTCGAAAAGGGTCCGTGATCGGGTCCTCTAGAAACTTTCTTTAAAAATTCACGACAATGTCATTGAAGGTCCTTTTAAAATAAATTCTCTAAAAAATACTATGATTGTCTTTCAAATGGTTTTTTTTAAGTCCACGTAGATGTTTTTGAAAGTCATTGAAAATTCTCGAGAAATTTGTTGGAGGTCCTTTATAACATTTTTTAAAAGGGTCTTTATAAAAATCATCTTAAAACACCATAGAAAAAATTCTTTAAAGGTCCTTTAAAAATATCCATAAAAAACCTTAAACATATATTTGAAGGTCCTTCAAAGATATCATAAATGGTTCGTGAGAAGTTCCTTTAGAAAAAAATCTTTGAAGGTCCTTTTCAAAAAGTCTATTAAAAACCTTAAAAAATTGTTTTTATAAGTCGTTTAGAGATTTCGAAAATGGTCCGTGAGCAGGTCCTTTAGAAAGTTGCATTAAAAATCTACGACAATGACTTTGAAGGTCCTTTTAAAAGAATTCTCTAAAAAAAATTATTGTCTTTAATTTTTTTTTTAAATCCACGCAGATGTTTTTGAAAGTCCTTGGAAATTCTTTGGAGGTCCTTTATAAAATTTTTTAAAACAACCACTTTCTTGCCTCTGAATGTCCTTTAGAAAAATCGTCTTAAAACCCCATAGAAAAAATTCGTTGAAGGTCCTTTGAAAAAATCCATAAAAAAAACTTTAAAAAATATATTTGAAGGTCCTTCAGGGATATCAAAAATGGTTCTTGAGAAGGTCCTTTAGAAAAAAATCTTTGAAGGTCCTTTTGAAAAAGTCTATTAAAAACCTTAAAAAATGTTTTTATAAGTCGTTTAGAGATTTCAAAAATGGTCCGTGAGCAGGTCCTTTAGAAAGTTGCTTGAAAAATCTACGACAATGATTTTGAAGGTCCTTTTAAAAGAATTCTCTAAAAAAATGATTGTCTTTAAGTTTGTGTTTTTCTTTTAAATCCACGCAGATGTTTTTAAAAGTCATTGAAAATTCTCGAGAAATTTTTGGGGGTCCTTTATAAAATTTTTTAAAACAATCACTTTCTTGCCTCTGAAGGTCCTTTAGAAAAATCGTCTTAAAACCCTATAGAAAAAATTCTTTGAAGGTCCTTTGGAAAAATCTGTAAAAAAATCTTAAACATATATTTGAAGGTCCTTCAGGGATATCAAAAATGGTTCGTGAGAAGGTTTTCTTTAAAATTCCCCGAAAATGCCTTTGAGGCCCTTTAAAAATAATTCCGTAAAAAACCTTGGAGGATTTTCAAATTTTGTTTTAAAAATCCACGCAAATGTTTCTGAAGGTCCCCAAAAAAATTCTGTAGAACTTGTTTGAATGTCTTGTATAAAATTCTTTAAAAAAAAATCCATTCTCCTGTCTCGAAAGAATCCTCAGGCTCTAAAAAATTAATAATAATTTAAAAAAAAAAATTAAAAAAAAAAAATTCAAAAATATATTTTTTAAAAATTCCACGTATTCTAAAAATTTCAAAAGAAACGCGATCTGAAATTAAAAAAAAACAAAATAATTTAAAAATGATAGCAACTTAGTCAACGAAGTCCTTAAAACAAAGCATTCTCTTCAAAAAATTCTCGTTTAGATTTTCATAGAACAAGTGTGCGTATACTTGATGCTAGCAATTATACGAACCCGGCTCCCACTTCTTTTATACAAAAATCTTGGGTAAATTTCTTCACCAGCGTTTTTTTTTTTTTCAATTAGACTTTAACATTGTCTGGAATTTTGATATTTGATATTGGTATCAGTTTGTTGCCTCTGATTGACTTTCAGAAAAATCCGGTCATACAACCCCATAGAAAAAATTCTTTGAAGGTCCTTTGAAAAAATCTATAAAAAATCTTAAAAATAGATTAGAAGGTCCTTCAGGGATATCATAAATGGTTCGTTAGAAGGTCCTTGAGAAATTTTCTTTAAAATTCCCCGATAATGCCTTTGACGGCCCTTTAAAAATAATTCCGTAAAAAAGCGTTGGAGGTTTTTCATTTTTTTTTTTAAATCCACGCAAATATTTCTGAAGGTCCTCAAAAAATTCTGTAAAAATCTTCTGAATGCCCTTGATGTAATTCTTTAAAAAATCCATTCTTCTGCCTCGGAAGAATCCTCAGGCTCTAAAAAATCATAAACAATTTTTTAAAAAAAATTTAAAAAAAAAATTCAAAAATATATTTTTTTAAAAAATCCACGTATTTTAAAAAATTAAAAAAAACGCGATCTGAAATTAAAAAAAATAAAAAAAAAAACAAAATAATTTAAAAATGATAACAACTTAGTCAACGAAGTACTTAAAACAAAGCATTCTCTTCAAAAAAATTCTCGTTTAGATTTTCATAGAACAAATGT